ATGCAATATTGAGTGGGAGTATGAAGGTCGTCCACGAACTTGCAAGTGTGGGCATTTTGCTCCACGGTGGACTTGCTGGACGGAAGCTAATGCCGGAAGAAGATTTTTTGGTTGCCCAAAGTATAAGGAGAAGGTAGTCACTGTTGTAGGTCTCTTTGATAATCACTGTTGTTAACTTTAATTTTAATTTGATTTAGATTGTTGGTTGTATTTATAGAATAGTTGGTTGCCCAAAGTATAAATGATTGAATTAATTTTGCAGAACAGTTGTGACTTCTTTATTTGGTATGACCCTGTGTTTGATAAGAGGGCAATTGAAGTTATTCGACGATTAACATCAGAAAAGTACCATCTAATGCATGAGAGGGATAATTTATGGACTGAGGTGTCTAAGTTCAGCAAAAGAGATAATTGTATTCCAGAATCTGCGATTATTGCATTAGAGTTGAAGAGTATAGTGCTGTGCTTGCAGGATCAAATCCATAGTTTGGAGAAGAAGTTACTGGCTATGGAAAAAAATTTGGAAGATGAGTTTGTTAGTTCGATGAACAAAATGCTTGTTATGGGGGGAAAAATAGAGAGTCTGGAGAAGGATATGCAGAATAATTTTGGTAGCACGGATGAGAAAATGGTGAGTATGTTTAAGTTTTTTGGGGATAAGTTTGGAGGCATGGAGCAGAAAATGTTGGATACGGATAAGCATTTGGAGGCAATTGACAGTTTGGACAAGAAAATAGATGCCCTGATGACAAAGGTTTACAACAAGAAAGCTTTTGGCAAACTATTTGTAATTGTTGTATCTTGTGTACTGCCAATATTATTTGCAATGATAAAATTTGTAATTAGAAATCAAGGGTTAAATTTGCCTGCCATAGAATGAGAACATATTGTAATTTTGCAAATTGGCAATGGAAGTATACTTTTGTCTATATCCTGTTGCTTTTGATGAGTATGGAAATAATAACAGTGAACATTATACCAGGAAATTGTATCTGTCACAGGAAATTGTATCTGTCACAGGAAATTGTATCTGTCACAGGAAATTGTGTACTGTAAATTATACCAGTAAACTATACCAGTAAATACCAGAAAGGGAACATGTCTTGACAGACAAATTGAATACTAGTGAAAACATACAAGTTATATGCTTTATCGAATTTCCAGAGAGAACCAGCTCTGTAAATCCTAATGTTCTCCCAAACAACTTTAAAGCTTTAAAAATGAATAGAAACTGGTGAATCTGAATTCTTCATGCATAAAAAGCTTAAGGATAAAACACAGTGGATCAAAGATTAGCACAGAAAACTATCTTAATAACAAAGATAATTTCTTTGCTTGTTTATGTATCTCATAAATAACAAATCTAAACTGAAACCAAAAAAATATATCAGAAAATGTTTCCTACACAAGAAAATATACCAGAAAATATATCAGAAAAATATATCAAAAAATATTACTTACACAGGAAAATATATCAGAAAAATATATCAAAAAATATTACTTACACAGGAAAATATACCAGAAAATATTAGCTCCACAAGAAAATATACCAGAAAAATATATGAATAAATATTACCTACACAGGAAAATATACCAGGAAAATATAACAGAAAATATTACTTACACACAGCAAAATATACCAGAAAATATTAGCTACACAGGAAAATATACCAGAAAATACTACCTACTGTCACAAAATGCCTATTATATGGCAATGACAAAACATCATCATCCTTTCTTAATAAAAGGCAAAATATATGAATGTAATATAATCATTTTTTCCTAACAAAATATAACTTCATATCTTCACCAAAATCATCCTTTTATGGTGCCAATGAACACTGATTCTTTGCCCTCTGTTCTGTTTCAGAATTTCCTCTCTTTCTCTTTGCCTGTAAAAATAAAACAATTGCAATTTTACCAACCACATCAATTTAATACCAATCA